CTGTCCCTTTTCCTGCTAATTCTGCTTTATCATGCAATACCGCGGCACTTTGCCCCACCACCCTATTGAGACTGGGAGAGTGTCCACCAGCTTAGCAGACTTGGACTGTTAGTCTGGTGCAATTTTTAATCATGGATATAAAGCTGGGTCCACTGGGGGTGTGGGAGATCTGAAAGCTCTAAATCAAATGTAGCTGGGTGTTCAGTGCAGGAAAGGTCACTTGTGGCTTTAAAATGCAATGCTGAGACTTCACTTACAGTTAACAATAGTGTGCATTCAACACTCTTCTGCTCTCATTTATTTCCATACCTAGCTTATGGCACAGCTCAACAAGCTGTGCTGATGTGTTGATGGTACCAGGCTCTCCGACAATGCTTCAGCCTCAAATCTCAGTATATTTCTAGAGAAAAAAGGAAAAGATTAAGAACAGACAACATTAACATCCTAAACAGTATTTAGGTCTCTTTAGTATGAATCAGCTCAACTTTAGATCTGGACAAAAAAGCAGGTTGCTCCATGTGATGACTGTTGATGCATTTTTTGCATGCATGAGTTTCCTACATGAATGTCAAGCGAAAACCACAGCATTTAGAGGTGCTTGACTTTGGCATGTGTAATTTTGCAGCCTTAATGTTGCTTCAACAGTGGTTGAAGCAACATAAAGACAGGTATTAAACCAACACTTATTAAACCAGAATTTTGACATTAGTACTTTTCGATATTCACATCAAACTGTTTCATTAGCATGGTATCACAGGAAATATGCAAAAAGGATTGTTTAATGGTGAGCTTTTACATGTCTATGCCTATGCATGCACTAATTTAGGCAAATCAAAGAATAACCTATGAACTTATTCAACAGTTTTAATTTGTATATATAAAAGCATACGCTTTCCCATGCTTTATATATTTATGTCTGCCAATGATTTAAAAATATGACTGTTTTGCAAAGTGAATATAAACATAAATCCACAGATCACTGTGAAGTGTGGACTGCGGGTGACTGCAGGAAATAAAAATCCTCTTTTATTCACTTTAATAATGTCCTATTGGACCTAATATAGCAAAATGAACAGTAGGATGGAGTGGAGACGGATAAAATCACTAATTCTGCAGGAACAGATTAGAGTATAAACTTCTGGCTGTTTTAAAACTCTTTGCAGTGGTTTCAAAGAGTGTCATTTCTACATATTCTTTGATTTTTCCTGTTTGAATATAGCACAGGAATGCATGTAGATCTACCCAAAACAGCTGAAGAACAAACTAACTGTAGCAACATGGAGCTCAGCACAGCTGCAAAACCTACCATAAAGCAGGAAAGCTTACTCACGAGGAAATCTACACTACTATGGTTAGTTGCTGACTTTAAGTCTTTATAGGTATGTGTCTATCACACTTTGCAATGCCCTGTGAGTCTCCTAGGTGACCATTTGAGCAGGAAAAGTAAGACATTTTCTCCTAAACTCCCCAGGCTGATATTTGCCCGAGCATTGATGCTGGAATTGGTATGCTTCTGACTGGACCATGGTGCAGGCCATTTAAATGTCCATGGCCATTGAAAAGTATCGCTAGATTCCTATGAACCGGATTATTGAATGTATTTAGGCATTGAAGAATAATTTTAAGTAATGCAACATGTCAAGAAACATATTCACATAGACTAGAAACTGAGTTAAAGACTTTCCATCCATCTCAGACACCATGACAATAGCACATTGCTCATAGGTTCTGTAGTATCTGGAAGTAATAAAGCACATTAAAGCAGCACAGACACCTTTACATTTTAAGTCTGGTATGTCCTTGTTTAGTTCATGTAACAGTACAACTAACTTCAAATGATGCCCATCTCATCATATGTAAAATCCCATGGGCTAGTGGAGACTTTGCATTTATTTACGTGTTCAAGTATATAATTCTATTGTTCGAATATCAATTATAAGCAAACAAGGATACATTTTGTCCGTATGCCAGTGTTATTATTTGGAATTTTGGTCTTCCATCTTACTTCACTGCATAGGATTTTATGTCTTATCTGCACATAGATTTTGTATATACATAAATATATATATGACACACATTTATAGCAGAGTGTTTCTGTCTAAATTTTCAAAGGGCAGGATTCAACTCACTTGACTTTTGACATCTGAAAGTTAGATATCCAAGCATAACCTGGACAATTCTATTATAGTTCATGGAGAGAATATGGTGTATTTACAGGATGTTTTTATTTTACCTTTCTAGGGGTCTATTTTGAGATGAGATGAATTATCCTGTAGAAAAGCCAATGACTATAAATGGCATTAGTTTTGACTGATGTTGCCTAAAGGGTAGACATCCGAGTTAGATTCACTAAATCTCATATAAATGACTACCCAACCCCCCTCCAAAAAAAAAAAAAAAGGGAAAAAAATGTACAGTTCCGGCATTTGCATTCGACTGCTTTGTCAGACTGTTCATTCAATATGATTATTGTGATTATTGACTTCTTGAATGTCTGTCAGTCTACAAGTTCTGACTAAGAAATAAATATGAGTAAAGTTGACAGCAAACATAATATTCTGTATAGAAAGAATTAAAAGTTGGTGTCCTACAACATTTCAAGAGTGGTGCGAGGATGATACAAGTTTCTTTTATCTGAATTAAAATTTTGGCGTCTCTGCTGCCATTGAGACTTTTATTAGATAAAAAGAAAAGAAAATGTAACAAAGAAATGACCCAAAGTACAGCGTGCTGCTCAGCTTTTTATCTCACAAGCACCAGCATTCACTGTTGCAGACGACAGTACATTAGAAATCCTGAACTGATATACAAGTAACTTTATTTCTGGGTAACTATCACAGAAATAATAAATCAATAACTTAAAACTCTATTATGGTATGAATTCATTATTTTTATTAGAATGTTGCTGAAAAGGGAAATATATGGTGAATCCCTATTAAATGATTTTAAAAAAAAAGTTCCAGCTGTCATGTGATTAACAATCTTAGCTCTTGAACTCATGAAAGGATAGAAGAATCTCACAAATCTTTTAACAATTACCAAATTCAACCTCCATAATTGCAAAGAAAATGTAGAAAGTATGGTTTCTAAGGAGTTAAAAATAACTGGGCAAGCTAATATAGGCTAAATTATAATTATTTTAAAAATATTAATTTTTAAGGCTGATCTTAGAATTTTGGTACCCAAATCCATCCTTTTTGTGTGGTTTAGATTATCAGTTCTCTGTGCTTGGTTAGAGTGTGAAAGTTCCTATATTTATTTTGAAATATTTGTTTCAGTGGTAGAGTTACTTATTCAGATGAAAAGCTGTGACATGACTTAAATCATCTATCCATTTATGCAAGTAACTCAGCATTTAAGGATCCTAATCAGTCTCATTAAAGGCAATCACATAAATCCCTCTGACTTACTGGTCTGGGATCACACCACACAGCAGCAGTTGTTGAGGTGCATGTGCTAGCAGAAGTAGCAGGCAAACTTGAAAAAAACCTCACAGCCTCTCCTGATATTCATTTAAGGACAGTAGACTGGAGAAAGTGGTCAAAAACCACTTTAGAAGTTATAAGCTGGTACAGGGAATTTGCTTTGTCCTGCTTCATTCCTAAAAGCAAAAGATGTATGTTACAGTCCTTTAAAATCTTAATAGAAACACTAGATTTTTTTTTAACTAAGAGCTTTCCTAGGTAATACTTATGCATTGTATTGTTGCAACCTGTCTGCAAGACAATTGGAATCATCGTTCATTCTGTCCTACCTCTCCCCTCTCTTCCCTCTCTCTCCCTCTCCCTCTTCTACCCTGTTTTACTTCTTTTCCTGCTTTCTGGTTTACCCTTTTAGCAGTACAAGATCAAGACAAGCTACAAGGCATTTGCAGCAATCCCTACAAACACATTACTTATGGAACAGAAGGTTAGTGTTTGCTTAAAGACACGGGAATTCCATTGTATATTTGGGACCATTCAACTTTATGTACATATTCTGACATTTCTAGGGGGGATATTGCAGAATGTAAGCTCTGGGAACTAACTACTCAGGATTGTAATTCCAACCATTTTTCAGGGTCAACCACTTTCCACTGAAGATCATATCCTTCACTAATCTGAATTTCTGCAAATAAATTTACTGTAAAAATGTGTCCTAAAGGAATTGCCATTTATGGCAACATCTCAAAGTCTGTTTTGTTATTGGAAAATGTCTGGAGCACTGCTGTTCTGGGATCTACCAATCAGTAGGTCTTGGTCAGTTAATGATTATTGAATGGCTCAGCTTACACTAGTAAATTTAACAATCGAAGATACACATGTTTGACCAGCTGCACTGTTAAATTGTGAGAGTGGTCCTGGCCACTGCATTAGCTTCCCTTAACTACCACTCTCCCAAACAACTTCCCTGAGCACTTCAATAGTCTGCACGGGCGAGGGGTCTGTTCCCAGTACGTAGTTTAGGGTAACAATCCTTTTCTGTAGGGTAGGATGATAGATCCAAAGATCACTCTTTAGTGCATTTATTTGCTACCAAAGACACAGATAACAAAGGCTGGGTTGTATAGTACTTATTTAGATAATGCATCTTTGGAAGTCAATTTAAAATTTGAAATTTGCATGAAGGGTTCAAAATACCCACCAATGTCTATTTTTAAATTTTTTTTCCAGACTAGTTTTTACAAAAGAATAGTCAACTAAGTTTAACAAAAATTTCCTGTGATGAATAATGAACTAAGTATCTGACATGCTTAAAGGAGTGTTTAATCACTCTGATATCCAGTTTATAGATTTTTCATAAAAATCTTTCTGTGGATCTAGTGCAGGAACTTAGTCAGAATTTAAGATTAGAGCATTCCTAACTACACATTTAAATCTGCATTCACATACACAGCACAGGTGATTTCACTAGCAGATTGCAGAACCTAAAGACATTGAAGAGGGTGAATTTGTGTAAAAATTTGAAGATGATAATTGTATCCTTGAAACATTACTGACTGTGATCTAGCAGTTATCAGTTAAGTGTTATAAATAAGATTTTTTTTCTTTTCAAAAAAAGGGACATTCCTGTCTTTTACAATTTTATTTTAATCTTGAATGACTTTAAAAATTATTTGCATAAAACCTGATCCTTCCTTTCCTTAAATCTTGAATGAACTAATGAAGGCTATGTCTACACTTGCATGCAATGTGGTCCAACAGAAATGACTCTGTAGAGGAAAATAGCTGGTACAAGGGATTCCAGACCCCTACGGAATGTATTTTGGGAGGGTTTTGTTTGGGCAGAGCGCCTGTTAGTGGCTGGAAGCATTTGGTGAACTCCTGAAGTGCTACTTCACAGTTGACTTAATCTAAAAGGCATCCAGTTTGTGCACTCTTAAGACTTCACTACTCTGCATGTCAAGCCAAGCAGGTGACTTTGAGCAGGGTATTCACTTTGAGAGCACACTCTTGATGTGAACTAGAGGGTTAATGTCAGCCATCTGGCTGCCCTTTTTCAGAAGAAAGGGGTTGTCTTTTGATGGTCTCCCTGGTGCTCTCTGGGACATTGACTCACAAGTTGTGTGCTACTTATTCCCAATATATAAAACTGAAAAGTACAATCTACTACCAGTATCTGTAGCAACAGTAATGATTCAGAAGATATTTGTGTTTAGATAGAGACTTTTGGTTATTCACTGTTTTATTGGAAATGCTTGGTCTGGTGTATCCTTCAGTAGAGAAAGCAGAGTCATGTAAAACTAATAAGAAATCAAATTTCTGCTACAGGATTTACTTTCAGGAGACACTCATGACTACTTTACTCTAAAAACTCTATGTTTCAGCATGGCCTGACTGCGCACTTGCTCTCATTCTGGGAATTATGGACAATAATCTCCTATTGATCCATACCAGGAGCTAATTACAGCACTCCTGTCAGTCTTGTTGTGTTACCTAACATGCATTTGGAGTATGGCTCTTAACGAAGCATGAAGGAGTCACATGGCACACACAGGACCCATTGTACCAAGCCCTAATATCCAAGTATTCTCCTCAAAAATACTGGGAGACAACCAGGAAGGAACTCGTGTAGCTCAATTACAGTAATTATGTTGCTCCTATTTTATGGAATGCATTTTATGCACTGGATTAAAGAGATTCAAGACAGTAAGATTTTAGCTACATAAGCGATGATTTATTAAGATGAATATAATAGTTATGGGGAGAAAAAGTTTTCGAGGGGCTTTTTTTTTTTAGCAAGGAAGGAAGGCACATAACATCTGCGAGGCACAGATACTACTGAGAAGTATGCATGATTAAGAAAACATAATCTGCCTAAGTGATAAAAAAGTGTTTTGCTATGTGATTGAATTAGAAATGCACATTCTCGGAAGTCAACTTTTTCCACTGTGTGAGTAATGATATTACTTAGTTTGAGTGGTCATGAGAAATAAGATTAGTCACCACTGTGATGTGGCTGATCCTAGTGACAATTCATGGGCAGTATTAATTAGATCCCATGACAGAAAACTGCCATCGATACGTCATGTAAGGTAAAATGCTTTGTCTGCCTCTAAATTGTCTCCTTGTGTCTAACTTTCTTTCTCAAGTAATTTTTTTCTTTTATGTGTGTGTAGATGCTTTATTTCAGCCAGCATTTTTCAGCTTCTCCTTATTAAACCATTAGGCTATCATAATCTTAATAATCTTTTCCTAGAACACATTCTTATCCTCCAGTACTCTTACTCAAAGTGAGTTGTTCAAATCTGTGCTTATTAGCAGAGCAGAAAAGGCTTATTGACCATATATGTGTATACTTTGGCAAGCCCAGAAGCGGCTTAATCTCATCGAATCTCATAACTGGCTTGCTTTCCGGCTGTTTGACTTTGTATGATCCTGATGTTCCTCACATCGCCTGTGCTCTGCTCGGAAAAAAGCCCAATCCAGGGCATCTCTTGGAAGTTTGGGCTGCAGCTTCCTTCACAGCCAGAAAAGCAAAAACTTGTTTTTAAGGGACTTAACCTCAGCATGGTCAGACTCTGTCGGGGAGCAGCGACAGTGGGCTGCTCCCTGGGGACTGTGAAACAGGATCCAGGGTGACAGCAAGGCTGGCAGGATAGTGTCCTCACCAGCAAGGGCACAGCTCCCCAGTGCCTGAGCAAGGAGAGAAGAGATGGTGACAATGAGGTGGCGGTAACTATGGTCAGTCAGTAGTGCCATCAGAACCACAGAGTTTCATAGTGATGAGGCAGGTCCACAGACTGGGGTAATGAGCTTTTCAGCCCTACATAGGATAGGATCTATGGGCTAGAAGAGGAAGCTAGGCAACTTAAATGTAGGCATAAGGCAAAAGTTTAGCAGAAAGAATTAATTATCCATTAGAAAAAAATTCCGGAGTTTGAAATGGGCTCTTTATCACAGAAATTGAAAAATCAAGACAGGACACTTTTCTGGCACTTTGTACAGTAATTCCAGGCAGTTCTGTGGTTTAAAGAAAAGGTCAGAGTAGGTGACCACTGTGGTTCCTTCTGGCCTTATTAAAGTTGAATCAGTGAGTCACCCCTCTACTGAAATTCATTCTTGCATAGCTTCTGTAGTTGCATAGAAGTGATCACAGTCTAATTCAAAATTCCGTTCCTAATCAGGTAGTATTTAAAAGGTAATGCATCTATTCTTTTGAGATTTTATTTATCAAATATCTATAAAAGTGTATTTCACTCAAGCTAGATAGTGATGAAGAGTTTATTTCAGGGAACTACAGAAAAATTCTTAACTTTAAGAATGGTAGTGTCTTAAACCAGAGCCTACTTCATCTTCAAAACTCTGTAAAATTTGAGGTGTAACCCCAAAACTCTGTTGGACATCTTGGAATTGCAAATCAAAAAAGTATTCTCTGAACAATAGAGTGGTCCTTGGTCTACAGCAAGGGCTACTCAGGGCAATTTGGATCTGCTTCATAGATGGCTTATCCCACACTTACCAGGTCTTCGAAAAGCACTAGGTATAAATGTCTAGGGACGGAAGAGTTGCAAAATGAAAGCACTGTTGACTTTTCTGGCTTGTATTTATGAAGCAATTACAACTACAGAACTATAATTTCAAATTTATACAAATGTAGGAAAAAATCTGTGTTATTTCAGGTTATTGATTTTGTCTCTACATGGCTGTTTTTCACATTTTCTCTTGCTAAAGTGCCATTTGGCTAATGAGACTCTTCAAGACAGTCTAAAACAGTCTTTCCAGATGATGTTACACTTCTAGGACCACTCCAAAGACCTAGTAATTGCATCTCATCATCACCTACATAGTGGAATGCCAGAAGTGTGGTACATACTCCTTACAGAGAGATTTGGAGAAAAAAAAAAAAAAAAGTGTTTTCCTCCTCATGCAGAAGGAAAATGAGGATTTTTTTTTTTCATGAAAAAGAAAGAAATGCAGCTGAGCAAATATGGCAGTGATATGCTACATTGGAGACCTAGCTTTAAGTCCTTGCCTTGAAGGAACTCTTGCCTATTGTATTGTTAAACGTCCTTTGGTATAGAGATTGATACGGCAAACACAGACTGAAGTCCCTCCTTGAAATCATACAGCAGGAAAAAATTTTTCCCAGTCTCAGATGGTAGACCTAACTGCTGGACAATTAGCTATTATCAAGCACGCCAGGAGAATTTCTGACAACATTTTGTTGTGAATATTTTGATTAAAAAAATGTATTTTTTGGTGTGCTCTTACGAGGTGAATTTCTTGCATCCAGACTATGTGTTCAAGTCAAAATGCTCCTCAAGGCTAGAGATCAGTACCTAGCGGTAAGAAAGAAAGGAAATCACCTGTGCAGTCGTTGAGTCATAAAGGAGCTAGTTTGTCTGTAATAATGACCAAGTGTGCCAATGTACGAGCAGGATATGAGCTCATTCTTTCTGTCAAAGGCCTTGCAGCATTTAATAGTAATTATTTTATAAGAGGAAAAGTAGTCAGGTCTTTTCAGCATCGTCTCTCAGGATCTTCAAGGAATAAATTAAAGGAACTCGTAGAATGCGAAGTTCTGTTATACGCAGGGATTTTTTTGCATGTACTGAGGGCTTAGAAAAGGATACTAATGGGAAAAATATGCAAGAGAAATAAGAGGAAGATTCTTGGCTTTTGCTCAGCCCAGGGTTTTCACAATACAGTAAGAACAAAGCTGTGTCAGATCCAGCTTGAAGTATTCATTTTTTTCTCCTGTTATTGATGTGATTCATTGGTGGATGAAACAATATTCTGTATTTCCTATATGTTGCCAAGAGCTTTTGTTCTTCTAACAAAATATTGGATATCCTGTTTGGATCATTTGCCAGTTACCTTTCAGCTCTGATACAGCTTTAGCAATCAAATAGCTTAGGGGAAAGAGGAGGGAAGGATTGTAGTCATCACTGACATCAATGGCATATATGCATCACACTTGCAAAGTTGCATTTTGCAAGGAAAAAATCATGGTTCATCAACTGGTTATTCCATCTAAACACTTACATTCTGTCACAAATACATTTTCATTCTCTAAATTGCACCCTTCTTTTAAATTGTGGTCCCACTATTGTTTTTCATACATAATAAAAAAAATTCAAATGCCTAAATAGGAATGTTCCACTTTTGATATTAGACCATCAGCATAGGAAGTGAAGCTTGAATACTGCTGATAGCACTAATCAACAGTACTGTAGATAATACTAATGTTTTAAATTAATCATAACATTATTTCATGATAAGTCCAGTAATGAGTTTGAAAACTCTAGTCGTACTTTTTTAATCTCGTATTTTTCTCTGTGTAAAAAAAAAAGGCACTGAGGGAAGAAGATAGAGTTGTACTTTGAAAATCTAGCAACAGACTAAACAGAATCTTTTTTCTTTGTAAAGGTGATAGGGATGCCTAAAGTCTAGTTCTCTTTATTTCTTCTCTTTCTTTGGAGGACTTGGACTGTTCAAACAGAGAAAAAAAAAAAAAAAGAAAAAAAAAGAAAAAAGAGACAAAATAACACTAAAATAAATCAGATGGATCATTTTGAATATTAAAATTTCACTTTACAAAGGTTCAAAAAGGGAAAAGAACACTGCAGCATTCTCTAGTGTAGCTCCTGCATGATGGCTGTGTCTCAGAGGGACTGCAGAGTGCACAGGTCTTGGTGCTGTGCTCACCTGAGTTCTTCAGTCAGTGAAGGCTCCAAAATGCAAAGATATTTGGGCTCTCAGTTTCTACTGGAACTGATGGATGTTCGATACTTAAATTATCCAGAGTCTTGGTTCTGAACAGAGACTTGTAGGTGTGGGTGTAGTTCCTCTAGAAAGATTCCTCAGTAGCTCCTGGGTAGGTGTTTCCTGGTTGTGTTCACCCTCTCCCACTGCTCTGGTGAAGTGGGTACGAAACAAAAACACATATTTTCTCTTAACAAGTACTTTTAAATGTTGATTACCCTACTGATTTCTTGGGGGTTTTGAGAAGCTTGGCAACTTCTCCATTCTGAACCCATGACTGATTAAAACTTGTTTTTCCTAACTCACATTAAGACTCATTATTTCTCTACACCAGGCTGCTTTGGCAATCCTGGCCCTCATAAATGACTCTTCTACTTCATTTTACCACTTCATTTTATGTTTACCAGGAGGATGTAATCTTGACTGAAGCTGAACTGGGGACACAGTACTGCTGAGCCCTCTTTAGCTGAGCCCTCTTCTTTTGCAGGGCTGTCTGTTGATCTGAGAGTTCAGCTGGGTAACAGTGATGAGATATCAGAGATGAGAAAGACTATATATCTTTCACCTTCTGTCTTGGGATAAGATTAGATTAATTTCTGTATGTAAAAAATAATCATTCTTTCACTTTTTTTCTTTTGAACCAGAACTACTCTAAGGCCAACCGGTTTGTCTAAAGCTGGAGAGGAGGGAAGAAATGTGTTTGGAAAGAAACTGCTCTTCATTTTTTCTGTACTTTCTGACAGAAGACATGGTGTTCCATAAAAATGCTTCTGAGCAGGGTCATTTGTGGATGGGATTAAAATGATATTAAAAGTAAATTGTCATTAACATTTTAGTTACACATATGTAGATGTATGCCCAGCCAGTAGCTTGGCAAGGAGAGAAAAAAAAAATTGTACTAATTATAATTAAAATCAGAAACAATGACTTAATATATGGGCTTTTAAAATGTTTTTTGTTGTTTTGGGTTTTTGTTTTTTTTTTTTTTTTTAAAGATTCTGACATTTTCCTCCCAGCTCCATCTATGTCTTCCATGACTGATCACTACCTCACTGGGATCAGTGTGTTCCCACAGAATCCCACATACATGAAAAAGTGCTTTACTGGAATTACTAGAATGTTGGTTTTTTTTTTCTTTTTTGCAAATAACTAGCAAAATGAAACTTCAGAAAAAAATAATGTGTTAAACAAAAAATCCACAAACCCTGCTGGTGCCTCCCCTGTAGTCCAGCTTCATGCATCAGCAGTCTTCCAGAGTAATTTTTGGTCTCGGCATGGAGTCTATTTGAAAATTCCTTCAAAGCAAAAATGGGTGATGGCAGTGAGAGTGTGCCTCGCAGACTCTGGACAGAGATGAAAAGGGAACTGAGCACTAGAGTTTGGCTTTTGAGGGTGTTTTGTGAGTTTCCTGATAAAGTGGGGGGATCAGCAAACTGCTTCCCACTATTCTCAAACCTGCTCTAAGTACAGGCGTAGGAAAGTGGGAGATGCAGCCAAGCACAAGAAGCTTGTGTTTTGTTTTGGAGAGACTGCGTACCTGCTTAGACCAGCTGTGTTTTAGTGCAATATCACATCTGTATAGAACATATTTCACTTCATACAATTCTGATTTTGGGCTAAAGTCCAAAAATGTCAAGCACTGTTTCTGTTGTAATGTGGAATCACCATCCTCTTTACACAGAAGGCACTTTGTAAAGGAAGCAGCTATTGGAGGAAACAAAGGTGCCTCCTGCATGCTCAGCCCCCCACCTTGTCCGCCTGCCTACGGCTGGGGGCGTTTCCCCCATGGTGGGCGGCAGGCCACCACCCCCCCCCCTTTCCCCCCTGCCTACGGCTGGTGGCTTTCCCCTGATGGTGGGCGGCAGGCAGCCATCCCACGCCTCGGTGGCACACGCGCACATTCACTGCGATACAGCCATTGCGTTACGCTCACTGCAAAGGAGGGGGGCATTGTTGAAGGAAAAGGCAATTTTGAACTGGTAGTTTCCGATCTCTGAAAGTAGAGACAACTCACCTAACTCTCTCCCTCTCTGCAACCAGCCACCTCTTCTAACTCAGAATCAGAAGATGGTAACCTGAAGAACCTTACTAGGCCTGTAATTTATTCTTTTTCCTTTTTTCCACTGTGAAATGAAAAATGCCACATTTGGAAACACAGTATTGCTTGGTTTTTAAAATTTTGAACTCACATGGAAATCTTTTCAATTGCAGGCATTAGAAGAGCCAATCAAGACTGCTAGTGTGACTGAAGGCACTGCTCTGGACACCCATTCAGAGGTAGTTCTGGTATATGTCTTTCAAATCTCTAATTGAAGACAAAAAGCAGAGGTTAACTGGGTGATGTGTCCTTTTTCAGATGTGCTCCCCTGCCCAGCTCAGACAACAAACAGAAGAGCTATGTGCTGTCATTGATCAAGTCCTGCAGGACCCATTGACGATGGTAACCCATCACTGTGTGGGTGTGGGACTGATTTTGTCTCTTTCTTTCTTTTTGTCTCTTGCAATTAATAAGTGTATTCTCTGTTGGAAATGATTTTCCAGCGTCGATGTGAATCTTCTCCAAGTTTTCTGCAGATGAGCATGGAGTCAGATGTTGGCAAGGTAGGTCAACAAGCCACCCACGCACCAAGGGCTCTTTCTAAGTAGATACCAAGGCAAAGAAAATCACAGTAGAGCTTATGGCAACAGTAAAGCCATAAGCAACAGAAAGCTGCAGCTGAGGGATGCAACATCAGTAGAAGTGTCTGGTGGTTTCAAACACATGGAAGGACAGAACTGTAGCCCTCCAGTCAGGAGGATAATTAAATGAATAAGTAGACTTGCTCTCAAGTACTGATTTCCTTTTAACTGTTGCTCCTCACAGGAGAGGGAAGTCTGCTGCATCCATGTACCCTGGATAAGTCAGCAAGAGACAGTGAGAGGCAGGGATAACTTTCTATACTGGTGTTAAAATTCTGGTTTCACTAAGTTATGTCAGTGTGCTTTCTGCATTCAGCAGGCTGACTGACCAAGGGAAGAGGGTCCTGCACTCAGTTTGCCCCAGGTAAATTTAAGTTGGTTCTGGCAGCTATAGGAAAGTGAAAATGGCAGAAATCCAACTGGAAACAGGAGGAAAGGGATTTTTGGCAGAGAAACGCGTCAAAAAGTTAATGCATTTGAAGCATCCCGCACAGTGTCCAGTTCACCATGCAAAAATAGGGCACAGAAGCAGCACTCCTGAGTGGCTATATTCAATATATATTTCAAGTTCAAATTTCATTTTTGAAGTTACTTCTGTCAACCAGCACTCAGTGGTGAATCAGGCTTCAGGCAGCTGAAAGATGGAAACATGCTAGTAGCTGAAGAAGCAGGCAGAGACTGTTCCTGACTGAAGGTTTTCCAAAGCTTGCGCTGAATCCGAAGTGGTCAAGATGCTGCTACTGAGTTGAGCTATAGCATCCAAAACCTACTTCCTTGGGCAGCTGAGTATTGAGCTTTGACCAAACAGAAGGCATCTGTTGGTGGTCATGAAACCAAATAAAGGGGGCAGAAGGTGAGTTTAACAGGATGCAGCACAAGGACCAAGCTAAAGGTTGTGAGCACCTCAGAATGAGAGAGCAGAGTGCTTAAACTGAGGATAAAAGAGATTTGTAGACAGTGAGGTAAAAAGAGTTTATAAGTAAATGCTTCAGAAATAGCATAGATCAGTCAGATGAAGTAGCATAAATCAGTCAGATGAAATAAGTTCTTGGAAATAAGAACATGGAAAGGCACCATTTCACATTATTTCGTGAGCAAACGTAGCTTAAATTTAATGGGGCAACCACAGCTATGGCCATCTAATAATAAGCATTTTGTTATGAGAATTCTCAGGGATAATCTAAATGCCACCCTCAATAGAATGGGAGCAATGTTTTAAAGTAGTAAAAATTAAATAGTATTTTCTACAATAAACAAGCAGAACTTTAATCTGCCTTACTCTTATATATCACATGAATCTTTCTGGAAACTGTAGTTTTCTTGAATTTGAGCAGTTAATAACTTGTCACAATGATGTAAATCTCTTTGAGTCACTCCTCACAGTAACTCTTTGCTCTTAATATATTTATTTATTTTGTAAAAGGTGTCAGCAACACTGCAGAGAGCAGCTGGGCGTGAAACCAGATATGTAAGCATTTTTAAAATTATGTTTTGTGTGCAGAAATGTCTAATTTGTCTGCTCTTGCTACAATATTGGGTGAGCCTGCACAGGCATCTTCTCTTGACATGAGGTGTTGACTAGTACAGAGAAGTGAGTATGTTAGAGCATTGGCAGTTGAGACTTGAGATATCTTCCCACTGCTGTAAATCCATCATGGCCAGGTGCTCTTCAGTGCTCTGTTTATTGAGAATTTTACCTGTGTGTGTGTTTCACACACCGCTTGGTTGTTTGTTTTGAGCATGGAGCAAGAGCTCAGCTATTTGGCAAACAGACTATTATGGGTGCTGCAAGGTACATTTGTTTGGACTCAGCCTACACTGGAGGGGACTTGCTTTGGTAGAAGTCCTTTAGTTCTTGCTTATCCATCAAAATCTGGGGTTGACCGAAACTTTTATTTCCAAGGTACAGAGCTGGCTGAAACCCCACAGTTTAGTGTTAGATGAATAGAAGCTGTTTTGTCACATATACAGATGTTCCAACATATAAAGAAAATCTCTGGATTGAGTCATCTGCTCAATTACTGAAACATTAAACCCAATTAACATTCTAATTCTCACTGGCACACTCAGTTACTGCAGGTTCTATATTTTACTTACAACTCATTTAGACATGTGGTGGGAAATCTCTGCTTACTATTCATCATTTAGCATTGCTATTGAACCTCAAATCAAAGTGCTGGCAAAGCAATAGAGGCCTCCCAGTTTTATGCCAGCACAATGCTTGACTGATCAATTCAATTTTGCTTCTTGAATGTGGCGGTATGCATATTTTATTGCATACTGTGATTTTTACTTGACAGATTGTGCTGGCTCATACTAATTAGAAAGGATATTGTAGGAGAGCTTTTTAATTAAATAAAAGACCATGTTTCGGAGGTAGTCTGTGAGAACAGAGTATATTTAATGCCACTCCAGTGCAGCTCTCCAGCCCCTAAAACTAATGGATGTAAATGATTATACAATAACAAGGGAGTGTACAGAAGTGGGGAAAAAGGTCTGACTTCAGTGAAGTTACAGTAGTTTGTACCAACTGACAACTAAGTACTACAGCTGTCATTTAACAACATTTTAAAATGTATGGTCTTTGATATGATCTCATTCACCATTTTATAGTAGTGCATCTCTTGTTGGCTTTAGAGATGATACTGCTCATTTGTAATAATAATATAGTCATTCTCTACATAAATTACTTTTATGGCTATTGAGTGCCCTAATATATATATACTTAGTCATTGTGTTTCCATGTAAATACTGTCACCAACAAAACATTTATTAATTTCAGGTTCAAGCAAATTTATAATTTTGTCATTTAGTCCACCTTACAACTATTTAAAAAATAATTTCTCATGATTAATTGGAATAATTACATTGCATATGATTGACATTTTTGCTCTTCTTGACAGTTCTATACTAAAAAAAAATCCTTTTTAAGTGTTATAGAAATGACACATAAGTGAAAAAATCAGAGAACACGAAGCAGCTAAAAATGCACAGACATGCAGAAAACAGTACTGATTTTCTGTGTCTGTGGTCTGCTGTGCTTATATACATTTCAGGTAACCCCTTTGAAATGAGATTTGCTCTTAGTTTGCACCACTGAAGTTAGAGAATTTAATTCCAGCCTGCTTGTATCTGTAGATCATTCCGAAGTGCTTTGATGTCTTTAAGCTGACAATGAGATTGGTCGTCACACTTGGTTAATGGTATGAAAGAGAATCCATAGTATGTAAGTAACCAGTAGTAAAAACTCTGGTTTACTCTGTAAAGGGCAGAAGATGTAGTTCTTGTAGATTTAGTGCTAAATCACAGCTGTTCCTGTGTGGGTGGGAGGGTTTCCTCCACTGGTGGCTGTGTTCAGAGATGTAAGTACTCTCAGTGAAGAGCACGGTCCTCCACCATGAGGTTGTAATGGCACTGACTGGTTTTCGACAGCTGTAACATCTAACCATTATATCTAATACTTTTTTTGCCACCATACTGAAGAATATTCACATTTTGGAGTCTCAAGGCCTCCAATTCACACCTACATCAAGGAAGGGCATGTTAGGTGTACAGAAACACTATTATTCAGTGGAACTCCTACAGAGCTTGATGGAGTTGATTGAGATTCAGAAATTCTGAATCTCACCATAACATGGGCGAGTAAGCATGTGGCACGTGGCTATTTCACATACACACACAAATACTTTGCGTTCATCACGTTTACGCTTGATCTGGAAAATAGGTCTTCTGCTGTACAATGTATACTTAGAAAAAGAAAAGTAATGCTTGAGTAGGATTGTTCTGGTTTTCATAATGAAGGATGAGAAGGTTGAACTGAGCTCCTGTTACAATTGATAGTCTTACTAATACTGATGCTATTAAATTAACAGACAATGGCAGGCTCAGAAATGTCAGGATTTGCATTTCAAGACTAGATCAAGATAAAAAAGTGAAATTTTGTTGCCCTTGGAAAAAAAATCCCTAAAATTTTAAAAACAGGCATTCATATTTGATTATACCCAGAAATAAACTGGAAAATACAGTATTTTGATTTCTCTTACTAATTGTATGTCACTGCATCAGTGGTAAAAGCTTCTGTACCTAAGCATACTGCTGTCCATGGATTTTTCTTCTGTCACCACTATAATCACTATGATATTGTATGTAATACTGTCTATATTTACCTTTTTTGCAGGCCAACCTTTACAAATCGGCACCTGTGGTAACAGAGAGCCAGCTGGTATGTATTGCACAGCTGTGACATGCTGTTTTTCAAAATTTGCACAAGCACAAAATCTAAAGTAATTATTATTTACTTTCTTAGACCTTTGTAATAAGCTGCAGTCAATATCCTCCTACAAAGCTGCATCACTTCTACAGAGCTGCATTGCTTTCTTCTGTACTGATTACACACCAGTTTTAAGTAACTGTAAATCCTGGCACTACTTGTAAACCCAGCGACCAAATGACAAACTAGAGAGTCTTGATGAATCTTGAGGTGTATGACAACTATAGAGTCTACTGTTGGTTCTTGGACTCTCTTAAGATTCCACTTCTACAGTTTTGTTTATACGCAACAAAATTCTGGCATCTATTTTCTTCTTACACACCAGTTCAAATCAAAGCTGGCTTAGCTAGTGAAAAACAATGGTAAAATCAAATAAAGAAAGGGAGGTTATGCATTGGAAGTTCATTTTGTCTCTGATCACAATTTAGTCTTGTTGGAGCCAAACTTTCTGAAGAAGAGTCAGAAGAGACATCGTGGAGCCTGTTGAAGTGACAGTGACCACTAATGAATGCTTACGGAAAAAATGAGATGTGGACGAGAAATCTTCCCCATTGTATTTCAGCTAATGGAATTTTAGGGACTTCCTGAGTCAATTTCTTCTGTTTAGTAATCCTTGACCACTTCTTCTTTCATTATTTTTTCCATTTACTTTTTGAATCTTGTTACATTTTGGTTATTCTGTAGCAATAGGGTTTACTTTTTAATTGTGCATTGTGTGAAATAGTACTTTATTTCTTTGTTTTAAATCTGCTACTTGACCTCAGTTCTTGTACTGAAACAGCAAATAATTGTTCTTTCTTCACTTTCTAAGTCATATTAATGATTTTCTAGGTATTAACCATAGTACCCTATCAGTCACCTCATTTTCGTGCAGAAAATTGCTTAGTCACTCTTTGAGGAGTATGGATACTGTCCCATATCTTTGATGATCCTGGTTGCCTTTTTCTATGTCTTTTTCAGGTTTTTATTTTTGAGATTGGGAGACTAAAACCATAAACTGCTCTTGTCTAGCTCTGACCACAATGCTTCCTATTTACATGATGTCGTGATAAGGTTCTTTACAGTTATTTCTATTCCTTTCTTAACGGTTCCTAGTAATTTATTTAGTTCATTTTATTTGTACTGAGCAGTGAGGCAATGTTTGTGCAGAACTGTATACAATAAGCCCAAGATATATTTTCTGAGTAGTAAGAGCTAGCTTCAGAGCTGACTAGTTTGTCACTGAATGTGTAAATTTAGGACGTAGTTTAGTGCCTCCCTGTGAAGCGTATCAATGTTGAATTCGGTTAAGTTTCACCTGCCTTTCTGTCATTCATTCACTCAATATCATATGATCTCTCTGCAACTCTTTACACTGATATTTTGTTTTTACCCTCCTGAATGATTTAGTATTAGCCACAGATTTCTAGCTGATGTACATCCATAATTCAAAGCCCAGATTCCAGAGTACATCTGAGGAACTCTTATTTGTGACTTCTCTCCACTGTGAAATTTAAACATGTATTCCAGCCTTTTGCTTCCTGTCTTTTAACTGGTCCACAGGAAATATTCTCTCTTACTCTGCAGCAGTTTCATTTCCTTAGTGGACCCTCCTGAAAGACCTTCACTAAGGCTTTTGGAAATCCATGTGCAGCATGGCTGCACATCCACTGGACTATACTCTCTGTGATGCAGCTTCATTTTGTTTATCCCTGGTCATGCACTTAGGAACCCAGTGGGACTCTTCAAAATAATTGTAAAAGATTTATCACATGTGAGTGCTCTTTCAAAAGCCATTTCCTGTTATTTGGCTATATGTATACTAATTGTGTTCTTCAGTATAGTTTGCCCCTATTACATTGCCCAGTTGAAATGTCACAGAGTGGCTGGGGGTTCCTGGTCCTCTTCAGAATCCTGTAGTAAAACCTGCCCCTTAGTTGCCACTTCTCATTCTTCTGGTGCTGATTATGTCTGAAATGAAATACCATAATTCATAGTGTGGAAATTTCATGCTGGAATTGCTTTACAACTTTATTTATTCCTTGCACTTTATTTGCTCATTTTATTGATTTGTTCTCAAATCTCTCCTATTGACACTGTACTTGAGACAGTTCCTCCAAATTGTTTCTTTGCCAGCGTGAGAACCTCCCTAAGTCTTCCTGTGGGGAAAGATGAAGTGAGGAATTAATTTTCAGCCTTGGTGTCCTCTTCCTTGTCCATCATTTTTATGTCTTGATTATATACACTGGCCCCATAGATTTGAGTAAGTTTTTTAGTCAGAGTCTTTGTTGGCCTAACACATGGCATTTTAACATTATGGGCTAGATTTTTTTTTTCCTCTAGATTGTATTTGAACAAAATGTTCTGTCTTTTAAGCCTTTTCCTCCTTATTCCTTTTTTCACTTTTTTTTTTTTTTGCACTGCTCTTTGAACATCCCAGAATTTACTGATCTCTTAAGCTCTTTTTATAAGCTGATATGCACCCTCTCTGAAGTGTTCCCGTCTTAAGCACTATTCTCGTCACTTAGAACCATTTCGTCCTTTCGGCAGGTCCTTTGATATTTTTTTAATAGCTGTTTTAAATACTTAATTATATATTTTATTTCACCTGTTTTAAATTGCAATCTCTACAGTGGAATTCTTGTTTGTGTTTTTTATTCAGACAGCAATGCTGTCTCTGAGTACATTGTGATCTCTATTCACGAGCAGTGATTCTTCAGTACTAACAATTTTACTTAGAAATTTTGCAGCATTTATGCTTCAGACAATTACTTCTCTCTGACTATCTCTACCAAGGACTGATTATTTATAGTGACAAGAGGTGTTGTATCAATACCTCTCATCTATGTGACTTTTATCCAATGGACAGTTAAAGCATTGAGCATGCCACTGTGACTCTCATCAATAGATTTTCTACTCTTTTAAAAGATGACTATGAATGACTCATGATAACAAAGTGCAAAGCCATATGTAGCACACCAACACAACACACAATATTGCCATGATCTTTAACAGTTACATTTTTCTTTATATAACATGTGAATAATGCAAAATTCACGTGAGGCCAGTCGTGCATACCTTGGTACCATTGTTCTAGGTCTTTTTTGGTTCAGATATTTTAATGCTGCATCAATCATCCATGGTTTTTGAGTGTGCAAAGGAAGGATTTTGTAAAATATATTTACATACATAGTAGAAAAGGAGTCATACATACTTAGAGCAAATACAGAATGGCATTTCTGTTTCTTGTGAGCAGGTGTTAATGCAATTTAACAAGAGCAAGTG